ATTTAATGAACAAATTAAATTAAAATAAAAGATTCACCAAAACAAAATTCACTTTAAAATCTCTAAGTGTCATTTAGTTTTTTTTTTTAAGAAAAATATTCTAAGTCCAAATTAATTAAAAAAACGACTAAGTGTTTTAAAAATTGAAAAATATTCTAAGTCCAAATAAATTAAAAAATCGACTAAGTCCCAGAGAGTAAGAATCTTGAGTAGAGTGTCGCAGATTATATGTATTTTAAAATCGCCGAAAGAACTGATTTTTAATAGGAAAAAATGGGTTTTTATAGTATACGAGGGTCGTGTAGAGATCCCTAGTGTGATCTTAGAAACTGTAGATCTTAATTAATGTTAAATGTGATTGGCTGGACTTAATTGAAAACCCACACATGGGTGTGACTTTGAATCTGTACGATAATCAGATTTAATTGCCTAATTTATTGATTATTTTAATTTTTAAATAAGGGAACCCTGTTTTGGTGATCTTGTGAATTCATAATATATGACATATATGTACAAAAGATAACATAATATAATATTTTAATATTATAAGTAATAATATAATATTACAAATGCACCCCTTTCTATTTTGTCATACGCCCTCGTATGACATACATCAAGAATACTAAAAATAATTGTTCAAATTGTCTTAATTGTAAGGTATATAATTTTAAATAGGTTTGGTGCTTTTTATAAATAGTTGTAAAAAAAAGTGCAGTAATAAGTTATATAAAATATAAAAATGAAAATGTAAAGTGATTATAAAGTAATAAAATTGTTTCTATAAATGAAAAATTGAATATAAGGTTATAATAATATAAGTAAAATAAAAGTTTAGTATTTAGTAAGAATAAAATTAAAATTTGATGATTAAATAGTAATCATAAAATTGGTAAATAAAAATTTAGTTAATTTATAAGTAATATTAATAGTTATATAATAATAATTTAATTCAAAATAAAATTGTTAAAAAGATAATGTATTAATATATAAATTAGATTTAAAAATTTGATAAGTTGAAAGTTGTATAACATAATTTTGAAATATTATAAAATTAAAAGTAGTAATATAAAATAAAATGAATATAATTCTTACATTAATATTTGTTACANTTGCCAAATGAATACATTTAGTAAATTTTGATTAATGATTATTGTAAATAATATTTGTCTTAAATCTAGATCTTATTAGTTAACATTACATGCATTATATAGTTATTTCATTAATTATAAGATAATAATCTATTACAATGATAATTATTAAAGAAATGATTGCATAATCATGCATTACATAAAAATATGATTGGATTATTAAATTGATAACAATAATAATTGTTATCACTGATATAATGTTTACAATCTAGGTTACATGTATTACTTTGAACAAATTGATATGATATAGATTTAGTAAACATTATTAAATTTTAATTCTTATAATAATATCACAGCCATTATGATTTTAATTCATTTATCTGATTTGACAATGATAAACTTATAATTAAATGAAATTGTGATTATGGTTTAAAATATTGTAATAAAAATATAGGTAAATATAATTTATAAATTCTAGACAATAATGTGGTAGAATACAAAATTTATAGTAAAATTTGATTTATCTAAAAAAATTAATTAGATTATGAAAGGTTTACATAAAGTTCTATAACTAATACTTGATTGTAGTTTTCTTCTTCTCTTTTTTTTTTATTGTACTACTTTCCCGGACTACTGTTCATTGATTGGATTGATATGAACTCGTCTCTTTTTTCTTTCTTGAGTTGTTGAGAATATGGTGTCCTTTTAGGTTTTAGAGTTTTTAGTGGGACAGGTTCCGTCAATAGTATTCTTTGTTTATTCAGATGTTTATAGTATTTTCTGAATCTAGTTTTTTGTCTCAGATTTTTTAAATATTTGTAATTTTTGTTCTTTAATGTTCTCTTCTTTATATGGTTTGTTTCTATGATTTTGATACCAGTTGGTGTGGGTGGCCTTAGAGGTGGTGGATTGGTAAATTGTGCTGGGTCGTGATATATATGTAAGAAGTTTTCTTCTAAAATTTGCTTGTGATTTTTCATATAGTCTTTTAAAAGTGAAAGATTAATTAATGGAGGATAACCTCTGGAAATTCTTTCAGCTATTTCCACTATCCCTGGACCACAGTCGTCATTGTTGTTCAATGTAGTTGTTTCACCTCTATATATTTGCCAATTAGAAGTACAACCATATTGTTTGAATTCACAGAAGATAATGAATTGTCGTATTTTCCATATCATTTCAGATATGGTACAGTTCATGTTGTCATAAAATGTTATGTCTTTGTTAGAAACATGAACTGCTACAAGAGTCCAATGGGTATTATTAACATAGAGTGGAGCGAGTAGAAGTGTTTTTTTAAACAAATCTATTGTTATTTGTTGATGAATTGCTTCAAACCCACTTTTCTTGAATTCAAGGATGAAAAGAGTATCGAAGGCATATACTTGTGATTGAGACCTCTCAACTATGAGCTTCATAAAGGTATTGATAGTGACATCATCATATACCATTGGTGGTGAGACAGATGACATAATTATTTTTTTTATTAAAAAAAATCGTATGAATCTTGGCCTAGGAAAGTGAGTACAAATTTTAATTATTGATGTTCAAAATTTCATGTTTCAGATTGTATGTTGATAATTATACAAAAAATTCAAATAAAAATAAAAAATTTATCTTATGAACTAATTACATATAAATCTTACATATTAATTTTATCTTATTTATTTAATTACTTTAATTAATTAAATGGAATGAAATAGAAGGTTTTAGATTTAAAGGTTTAGATTTATTATTAAAATTTATTAGTAAAATATAATGTAAGATAATGTTAATAAAAGGGTTAGTATAAATATTTAAATTTAATGTATAATTAGTTATTTATTTATTTAAACTTACATGTTGATTAATTATATCCGGTAGTGGTTAGTGGTTTGGTTAGCATGCAATAATACTAATGTTAGCATAAGGTAATATGAATTTTATTTTTTAAATTTAATGTNGCAATCGATCATCTGAACCCTATCAATAGCATCCTTGATATTTAAATTGTGTTGACGTTTACATACTATGGAATGCGATTCTGCTAATTTCAAATAATTGCCTTGTATTTCGTGAGTGCCTGGTATTAGTGCTTCTATTAATTTTATACACTCCCCATCATGACGAAAACGACATAATTTCAATGTAAAAAACTTTGAATTCATTATTCTACTCCCAATAATATGTAACCTATCAACACGTAATCCCAATTTCTCAACAATATTTAAACGGGATTGAAAACCATATACTATTATTGTGGGAATATTCCTGCCATCAGATAGCAGGGTACCAATATGCTGGTTGTTAAGACTGTTATCCTGACATATTATGTTTTTATTCGGATTTCTATTATTTGTATTAGAATGATTAGATATTTCTTTTTTATTTAATGCAGAAAGTTGTTCAATATGATTTTTGTTGATCCTAGAATTATTTGTAGTAATTAATATTGGGTTACCTTGTAAACTATGTATAGGGGAATTTATGAGTGTTTGTTTGAATGCTCCTTTGGTTATTGCTAACATTTTGTTGTTGTTAATCGATAGGGTTTCAAATTCGATAATAAAAACTTTGTTAACCATTATGAGTTTGCAGAGTAAACTATAGAACTTACAATATCCTTTTGTAAAGAAAAAATTATTTTAAAGTAAATTTCTTCAAATAAATTTTTTTTTGTTTTTGATGTCTGATTCTTCATGGAAAAAAAAAATGATTATAAGATATTATTATATGTATAAATAAATATAAATTCAAGTATATAGGGTATTATAAAGTAATATTGGATAATGTATAATGTTTAAATCTAGTATCATAATTATTTTAATAACGTAAATAAAAGTATATAAAAGTGATTTTTTTTTATTTTTTATATATTATCTTCTCATTTTTATATATATTTTTATTTTTTATAGTATTTAAAAATTTTATAAAAGTAAACTAAATTTATAGTATATGTAATAATATTTTTGTGATTTTTATATATATTTTTATTATAATATTTATTTNATATTAATATAATTTATAATAATATAAAATTTAATAGTTATAGTGATATATTAATAAAATTATAATTATAAATAATGCTATATAAATATTCATTAATTGTACATGTATTTATTATTGTGATTATTTCTTTTGATGAAAGTGTGAAAGAATAGTTTGTTTTAGCTCATTATATCCCACAAATTTCGCCAAATATGCCAAAAGGCAGTCCGTCATGACCACATCAAATGATGGGTCATGTGGTTCTCCGTATGATATATGCGTTTTTTGACAAATCAATTTGTGAGTTTCAGATAAATTTAGTAAATTCCCTATTTTATGAATATACGGAATTTGCACAACAGCCAATATTTCAGAGGAAATTCCCTTTGGAGTTATTGTTTCAAGAGATATAAAGAATGATTCTTTTAATGTATTTTTATTATATATTTCTCTTATATTATGGCTGTTAAGGTCTAGTTTTGATATTATATAATTTTCAATATGATTGTCAAATTTCTTTGCTAGAATATGAAGAGTATTTATTCCCTTAAATCCCATATTTATTAAAATTGTTTTATCTGTGTTGCCTGAGAAAAATATTATAGTAGGATTTTCATAATTTTTGAATATTTGTTTTCCTATGAAATGTTTATTAAGAGTATTTTGATTTGTGAAAAAAGAATTTTCTAAATGTTTAATTGCCATATCAATCTGTATTCTAGGTTTCTTTTTTAGATTAAATTTAATTTGATTTTTTAAATTCTCAAGTTCATTGTTCAGAATATAATTTGTTTCCCCATTTTTTAATCTAATAGCCCTTCCCTTTAATGTGTTTATATTAGAATCAATAAATGTTCTTTTTAATGCTCCTGTTGTTACTACTAAATTATTCTTCCCCTGAGTTATAAACTCAAAATCTATTATAAAAAAGGAGTTCATATTTTTCAATAAGGTAAAGTTTTGATATATGTATATAAAAAGAAAATGTTATATTTATATATATAAAGTTGATAAAAAAAAAATAAAAGAGAAATATAGGAAAAAAAATGAAAGTATAAATATTTATAAAATTAATGTACTTACAATATTAACTGCAATAATTTCAGAGGTAATTCTTGTGTTATTTTGAGTAGCCAAAGTGTTGGTCGTAAGGGTAGTTTTTACAAACTGATCTTTGAAAATTTTTGTTACAACCATAATGAATAATTCTTATGATTACCCTTGTTTATTTACCATTTAGTAGGTGGGATTTAATTTTAAATATTAGATTTAGCCAATGCTGATTAGCTTTGCTTTAATAATTATAAGGGTGGGATGATTTTGTTATACCTAGTAGTTATCTATTGGATATTGGGGGGTTGTGATGCCACTCAAAATCATAGGGGACGAGATATTTATGTTTGTTTATATTCTTATGTGAAAATAATTTGACTTTTATTATTTGTATATAGATTACATAAATATTATTCAATGCATGTAGTTGTTTAACTAATTGTGTGTATTAAGTATGTTAATAGTATTTATTCATTATAGTAATAGGGTGAGTTTTGTATAGATCATAAAAATTCTATTTAGTTTTATGTTTCAAAAAAAAATTGTTAACTGTTATTTGTGAATTATTTTTGAATTTAATTATAAACATTTACTCAGTATGCCAAGTAAATAATTGATTTCCACATCCACGACATCTAAAGAAATAATAATCTTTTTCTAGTGTTTGATACCAGTGAGTAGCATTAAGTGTAATTGTTATGTTTACTGATTGGTATATTATGTCTTTTTTCTCATTCTGAAGGTATTGAGTTATGCTACGTCTACAATCATCTTTTTCATGAACAACAACATGCCAATCATTAGTAATAGTATAGTCTAGGAATGAGAAAGAAAGGATATTGTTTCTCCCAAATATATTTCTATATTCCTTTCCAATTATGTTTATGTGAGATTCTGTGAACGTATTTCTTAATAATTTTAATTCATCAGAATTTCTGATTTTAAAAGAACGAATAGGAAATCCCGTTTCAAGTTCATCGGATTGTTTATTGATCATTTCGTTTATTATATCGAACTGTTTTAGATGAGGAAATTTATTAATATCACTGACTTTACTGAGGGCTCGATCTCTATATTTATTGAATAGTTTATTTATATGCATATTTGTATGGTAATTAATAATATTATATTTTTTTTTTTAAATTTTAGAACGGTTGGTTATAATCAGCTTTATATCATAAAATAGTGAATATTATGTATCATATAAAAAAAAAATAAATTTAATTATGGAATGTTTGTGCAAAATAATTTGTATATGATTTAATGGTTGCTCTCTCTTTTTTTTATATAAATAGATGTATAAATGTTTATTATATGCTGGTTGATTAAAGATAATCTGGTTTTGTGTATTGCAAAATATATTTTGTTCTGATTATTCGAAAAGGCGGGAATATTTCTATTACTTGTATGTTAGTGTAGAAAGATGATTATAGATAATGCATTATAGTGTTTCTCTTTGCAACATTGTTCTGTTAGTTTTATGATCGTATGGATTCTGTAAAATTTAAATAAGATAAGGTAACTAATGAATTGAAAATTAGTGAATACTAGTTTTTACTGTTGCTAATATTTTTTTATTCGATTTGAATTCTCATAATAATGTTAAATAAAGATAAAGTTGTTGATTAATTGTGATTATTTATAATGAAGGTTTTCTACTGTGATGAATATTTTGATGCAATTGTGGATAAACCTTATTCGCTTTATTGGGTTCGGAATAAATAACATCATAAGGTTTAGGTTTAGTTAGAAATTCGAATTCAATAGAATTAATATTTTCTTTAGTTTCTGTAAATGGCGGGGAAGATGGGTGTTTATAGTCCTTGGGTTTAGAGAAGTTTTCTGTATGTTTTTTGTGCATTATATATTGAGTGATACTAGAAAATATACCTGCTAGTAGTTTAACACTCCAACCAAAAGTGTTGTATAGTATAGTAAGATTTACTAATGTATTCAAACAAGTTAAAATTAGTTTAGTTATAAAAAATATTCCAAGTAACCCACTAACACAATTTCCAAACCATAAGAACCAACCATAAATTTTTTCTAATTTATTTTCAACTAATTTATTAATTGTTATTTCGTCTATTAAAGTTTTGAATCTAAGTCCTTGATCTAAAATATTATAACCTAAAGTCTCACGAGCAATATTTGATTGGGCTGAAATAATTTCTTGTGGAAATAATAATTGACGTTGAAATGAATTCATATTTTCTTTGGAATAAAGTCCAGCGTTCATTAAGAATTCAGGACTTTTATACTGCCATGTGAATGCTGTTTCAGGTGCTAATGTTTGTGGTGGATGTATTTCTCTAAAGTATGGATTTAAACTAAACCAAGTGTTTTCTATTAAGTATGCAGAAGGCATTAGTTCGCTGCAATCTATTTCTGTGCCATGATTAAGTATTATATGATTTTTAGGTGAAAGATATCTAGTGGAATTTTCGAATATTACTGGTAGTTCATCAAAACAATGATCTGTTTTAGCTAATTGTACTTCTACTGGTTTACATTTTAAAAGATAAACTATTTCTCCGCTTCTAAGAGCAGCATAACCTGGAGAGTCTGACATAGCATAGGCAAATTCTGTTAAGCTATAGGATGCTATGGCTAATTTTTGTTTTAAAATTTGTCGTTCTAAATTACATTGTTTTACAACTAGATCTTTGTACATAGCAGTTATTGATGAACTTAAGAAATGTTCTATATAAACAAATTTAGTGTTAAGATATGCTACAAGATCTGTATTGAATACTGAAATTTGACGTGATTGAAAATTTGGCATATACATTTGGTCTTCTAATATAACAAGCCTAACATGTTCTGTACTAATCATTTCAATTGAACAAATATAAGTTAGACCAGTTTTCCTAAGTGCAAAAGCTATTTTATCAGTTTGAACAATGTATGTGTGAGTTTCCT